TTTGCTTGCCAGTGCGCTGGCGAGCGCCTTCCTCCTAGCCACCGTCCAGTTTGGGGGCTTGTCTGGGCTTGGACCTCAGCCCACTTCTGTGGTCGTAATAGTGGATAGTTCAGCTTAGGTTTGCCGTAAAGTAAGAAGACTTGACTTGCGCAAATAACGTGCTGAAGGCTTGGGTGTAGGTGCCAAACCACGGACACGGAGCTGGGGACGCGAAAATAAATTAGTCGTGGGACCGCTGGTTTCAGGAGCTAACGCCAGAGCGAAGGAGAGAAACTGGTACAAATCGTATAATTAGGGTTTAAGCAGAAATATGTCCAGAATGCTGCGGTGATTCGGGTGGTCAGAAGCAGCTAGTGAAAGTAATTGAAACAGTGACTGAGAGGAGTAGGGATGCTTTTGGAGACAGCAAAGGACTTTCTAGGCAAAGGGAAAGGCAAAGATAGGAATGCTTGGAATTACGTGATATGTAATAGAGCCGTGAGTGGTGTGTCCAGACAAGGGGTCATAAACCCAGATCCCTACAGTGATGAGAAAATATAAATTACCTTGTACAAGCTAAGCCTAAGAAAATGCTGGGAGTTATGATGGATAAAGAAGCATTTGATAATCAAATCCAACCAGTTTCTCTGGGAGAAACTCCTGACCTCAAGTGAGCCTCCCGTCTCAATCTCCCAGTGTTCGAATTGCAGTTGTGAACTATCGAGCCTGGCCTGAAATCTTTTTCAAACATTATAATTTTCTCTCTGTATGCATATATGTGTGTTCGTGTGTGCTCTAAGTACATGTTTATTCTACTTTTTGGATAATCTAGCACTTTTTAAAGACAGAGACTATCTTGTCTGTTGTTGTATCTCCAGCTTTTAGGACATGGCCTAGGACCAAGTAGCTGCTTAATAAGTATTTGCTGAATAACAAATGAAATTTGTGGCAGAGAGGACAATGGATTGGAGAAATAACTTGGGAAAATCGGTAATTCTCGGTGGACCTGGAAGAAAAGATAAAATTGGGGTACAAGAGAAGCAGTGATCAAAAGCATCAACTTAGGCCAGGCACAGTGTATTATATTTATATTAATGTAATTCCAGCACTTAGCAGGCAGAGGCGGGTCATTGCCTGAGCTTACAGGTTCAAGACCAGCCTGAGCAACAGCGAGACCCCATCTTTAAAAACTAGCTGGGCATTGTGGTGGGCCCTTGTAATCCCAGCTACTTGGGAGGCTGGGGCAAGAGAATCGTTTAAGCCCGGGAATTTGAGGTTACTGTGAGCTATGACACCATGGCACTCTACCAAGAGTGACAAAGTGAGACTCTGTCTCAAAAAAAAAAAAAGAAAAGCATCAAGTTAGAAATAAGAAAGAGGTAAGACATGGGAGCTAGTGTGTAGCAGAAAAAACTAAAATGTTCAAAGAGGATATATATTCAGTAGAAATAGGATTAACTTAAATAAAGCAAATCTGAAACTATATCTGGAAGAGGTTCATGGTTGAACTTTAAGAACTTTAATCTGATATTGCATACAAAACTTCACATGTGCATTTTTTTCTGAGGACTCTATAGTTTTCATCAAATTCTCAAAGACCTTTATAAGCAGTAGATTGGCTTGGCCCCTGTGGCTCAAGTGGCTAAGGCGCTAGCCACATACACCTAAAGTGGC